AAGTTGGAAATTGTCCCAGAAATTCATGTGGAGTTTAATTCTGAGCCAGATGTTTTGTTTTTTTTGTGTGGGTGGGTGGATGGCAACATACTTGTCATAAAATCCTAAGCAGAATTAGACCCTTCTAAATCCACTGAAGTCAATGTAACCGTATAAGACTGCAGTGTAAGAGCAGGTTGTTTCAATGGGACTTTCTCCCAGGCAAGTGTTCTTAAGATTGCACTTTAAGGAGCCTGGAAAGAATGTCTTCTTGTCTTGCAAAGTGGGGTTTATCTGGGGACTGTGAATTAATCCTAACATCATGCAAAGTGGCCTTAGGGATTAGGGAAAGAAGGGGTTAATCATGGCAGGAGATCCTTGATCAGCAGCTTGTCTGTAATCTTTTTAAAAAGGGAAATGGTGGTGTGTGTGGTGTGTGTGTGTGTGTGTGTGGTGTGTGTGTGTGTGAACTGGATTGAGACCATGGTGCTAAGGAAGATGGGGTTAAACTCCACCTCCACCCACCAGTTTTTGATCCAGGGGAAATATTCAGCTATCTATAGGGTACCTTTGCTTCATTTCAACTGTATTTGAAATATCTGGTGAATAAGCTAGCAACAAACCCAACATAAAAATAAGGGTCACAAACTAAGGGCCTTACGTTCAGCCAGAAAAGAAATCGATGTGACTCTTTTCACCACACCTGTCAGCGAACAACCATCCCCTACATTCCAAATTCCTTCCAAAGATATTGGTGCCATTCTATCTGGGGCACATAACCATTAACAATGGCGCCATCTGGTGATTTTAAATAAGATTAAAGTGAAATGAAGGTTACGGCATTCAAAGACAGAGGGGCAGTAGTGTCGGGGAACCTTGTATTCAAAACAAACAGGAATCGAAAACTGCCTGGATTACAAATATGCCTCATAATAAGTATGCTGTCACAGTTCTAGACAGCTTATGTTATACTGTAACAAGAGAATGCCCCCACAGTAGGAGTTTTCAGACGGGAACACAGTTTATACTGAGTCTACGAGGGGCCTGCATTGTCTACTCTGACAGGCAGCAACTCTCCCAGGGTTCCAGCTCAAGCCCTTTCACATCACCATTCAACAAGAGATGCCAGGAATCAAACCTGGGATCTTCATCATGCAACGCTATGTTCTACCACTGAGCCACAGTTCCACCTCAGACATGCAAACTTCCTCATTTCAAATAATAAATGGCTAGAAACTCCCTATTGGCTAAAAACTCATTAATGGGAGAAGTTTGAAAAGCTTGTTGGTTGGGGCTATATGGAGGGAGAGAGCAAGAGAGGAGGAGGTGGAGCAGGAAGAATTCAAGCACGGATCAAGCACGGTATGCCCAAAAGCTAGACTGTAGGCCGCTGGAAGATACTGGTGCCTCTCCTAATGAATTGTAGGGTTCTAAACAGCAAAGATTTCACAGGCTTAACCAGAATGTCACACAAACTATAGCTTGAATTTGCTTGATATCACGTTTTCACCACATTAAAAAAAATATTACAAATACAGAACATTGATTATTGCCGCACACACTTAAAATTGTTCCATGATGTCAAAATGGCATTATTCATATTTGTGATAAGCAAACATATTCCTAGTAAAAATCCAAATGTACTGGGTGGTAGCATGGCCTGCTTTTCCTTCTTTCCTTCGTGGCACAGTGGCAGAAGGCAGGACTTTGAATTAAGTTTTGTCGTTGCATTGGCTCTGCTTCCAGGAGAGATGCAAAGCGAGTGCAAGTGGAGGCACAGAAACACTCCCGCAGAGCAACAGATTTGCTCTCTCACGTCAGAACTTCTGAAGGGGGGGGGGGAACCTTGCACTGCCAAGTTGTTTCAGCTAGGGATGCCAGCCTCCAGGTGGGATATGGGGATCTCCTGGAAATTACACCTCATCTCCAGACCAAAGAGATCAGTTCCATGGGAGAAAATGGCTGCTCTGGAAGGTGGACTCAGTGGTGTTGTACCCATCTGAGGTCTCTGTCCTCCCCAGGCTTCACTCCCAAATCTCCAGCAGTTCCCCAACCTGGGGGTCCTGGCAACCATAGTTTCAGCCAATCCATAGTTCTCTGGGGATCCCTTTCTGTGTACTTTCCTAAACGCAAAACTTTCACAAACACACACCTGCTCCATCCCCTCAATGGGGAAGTGCCCCCTCCCTGGAACCTCAGATGGGTATTAGATTGGACAGTGGCCCTGGGGAACGGTCTCTGAACAATTAAGGCCCAACCAAGGAACTTTAATATCCTAATGCCATGGCCCTTTGCTCCCACTAGTTGCCACTTTAGGCCAAACACACAGGGTAAACCCATTCTCGGTAAGTTCTCGGTAAGTACCACAGCAGCATTTATGCCTCCTGTATCAAGAGATGAGTCTGCTCTCGATAGATAGATAGCTGACAAAATCCCATTATTTTTGTTGCATTTTGAAGTGTTCTGGGAAACTGACCTGTTTAAATGAGCCGAGGGTGGACACAAATTTCCCTGCCTTTAGGCTGAGACCAATGAGAATGTTTCCCCCCAGGATCATGGGAGAGCTTTGGGGGTGGTGCGCAAAGCTTTGATCCCATAGAGGAGAGAGACACAAACCTGGACCAATAGCAACTAGCTTTGGTCCCTTATTATGCAAGCTGGCCCACAGGATGCATGCATGAAGAGAAATTTCTGGATGAAATAGATGGGAAATGTCCTAGGGGCAGGGCCGTGGCTCAGTGGTAAAGCCTCTTGCGTGCAGAATGTACCAGGCTTGACGGTTGGCGTCTTCGCCTAAAAGGATCAAATAGTAGGTAATGTGAAAGACCTCTGCCTGAGACTTCAGAGAGCTTCTGTCAGTCTGAGTAGACAACACGGAGCTTGAGAGAATAATGGTCTGACTCGGAATAAGGCCACTTTGCATGTTTGTGCATAAACTCTGTAAGACAGATCAAGATGGGTAGGTAGCCATGTCAGTCTGTCTGTAGGAGTAGAAAAGAACTTCAGCAGCACCTCCAAGTCTGACAAATTTGTGGCAGGGGATGAGCTCTCGTGAGTCACTGCTCATTTCTTCAGATACCAAGTGAGCTGGGACTCATGAAAGCTCATACCCTGCCCCAAATTTTGTTAGTCTTGAAGGTGGTACTGGACTCTTGCTCCTTTCTATATGACAGGTAAGACTTGTGAGGTAGTATTTTGGTCTCTCCGGCCCGCATAAAATGGCAGTCTCAAAAACAGAGAGCAGGGGAGTGCTTTTCCTACCAAGGCAATCAAGTGTGTCACACATGGTCACACCAAGGCTTGCCTTTTTATCAGGTTCCAGCCTGGGGAAGGGGAAGCTGCCTCACCTGCTGCAGCCCGTTTTAAAACTCAGGGCCTGTGCATGGCTCTTGTGTAGGGTTGCCAGGTCCTTCCCTGCCACCAGCAGGGGATGCGGGTGGGTAGGGTTGCCAGATCCAGGTTGGGGAACTCCTGCAGATTTGGGGATGGAGCCTGGAGTGGACAGGAACCACAGTGGGGTACGATGCCACAGAGTCCACCCCCCAAAGCAGCCAGTCTTTCCCAGGGAAACTGATCTCTGTAGTCTGGAGATGAGATGTAATTCCAGGGGATCCCCAGGTCCTAGTCTTGTGGCCCTTTCCCCTCACATGGTCTCCTGCTCTCTCTTTGGGCCTAATTTTTGTTTCAGTGGGCTGCATTATATCCTTATCTGGTATAGACGTGAATCAGTTTGGGTAGCTGTGTTAAGTCTGTCTGTGGCAGCAGGGTATGAGCTTTCATGAAGTGAGCCGTGACTCAGGAAAGCCATACCCCGCCACAAATCCTGTTAGTCTTTAAGGTGCTACTGGACTCTCGCTCTTTTCTATTTGTATAAATTTAGACTCTCTCTGCATAGGCACATCATCACACATCTACTTTGAAGATCGTCTGTCTAGCAGCCCGAATCCCTCCGGAGACGCAAAATTTCCTCTTCCCCAGTCGTCTATTAAAACTTCTGTTTCAGGCAGATCGGCTCCTCCACCACTAGAAGTCGCTGCAGGTTCCGCTCTCGGTATTCTCCTGAATCTAAAGGGGGAGGGGTAGCCTGAGCGTTCCATCAGTTTTCAGTTCCGGTTCCACTAGAGAGCCACGGCAAGAGTGGTTAGATCGGAGTCCGGTAGTACTCTAGAGACCGACGAGAGTGGCGTAACCGGTGCTACCGTTGCTGTAAATCTGGGCCGGCTTTAGCGCTTCTCTCTACTGATGTAGACTCCGCCTACGTCCGGGGGGGGGGGAAGGAAGAGGGTTATTCACTGAAGTAAGTCCGGGGTTGCCAACTTCCAGGTGGTGGCTGGGAGAAGCGCTGGAATCCTCTCTGGTATCCGTCGAATTTCTGAATGTTTGCCGCATGAGGCAGAAATAAAAGAACCCAACACCTTTTTAAAGTATAAATGTTTTGGGGCGTAGAGAGACGTCTAGCTTTGTTTTATTGTTTCGGAATAAAAGAGCCCGTCGTTTCAGTGCTTCTGAAGGTGTAGTTACGTATTAAAGTAAAGTGTTGCGGCAGAAAGACAGCGGGAGCCCGGGGGGGGGGCACCAGTTTTAAATTCTAGCATAAGTTCTCGTAGACCCACGGAAGAGCCCCCTTGATCATATTGCGAGTGGGTTTCTAGGCAGGCGGTTATAGAGACATAAATGTACAAAGAAACGATATAAATAGAAAATGCACATAAATTTCAGGAAAACTTATGCTAGAATCAAAAACAAAAAAAAACCCAAACAAACGCAGGAAAACAAAACAGTGGTGGATCTTTGACATAGTAGAAAATTCACCCTTATCAAGTACCGCAACGAAGGGGAGTACGTTTTTCTTTTCTTTTTTTTAAAAAAAGGTTGTTTCTACGGCGTTCCATTCCTCTTGCCCCGCACATGGAAGGTTGGTGCGATCTGCTGCCCGCATTTCACGGTCATCTGTCTTTGAAACGGGCACCCCCTTGGGTTCGCATGCGTCTGACACAGAGAGCGGCCTTCCGGCTTCGTTCCTTCCGTTTCCGGGTGGGAGGCTGAGTCACTCCCTGGCCCCGGCTGCTGGTGCTTGCTGTTCCTTGCGTCCCTCGGTCCCGGTCCGCTGCCCGCCTTCGCCGTGATGCCGCTGGAGAACCTGGAAGAGGAGGGTCTGCCCAAGAACCCGGACCTCCGCATCGCGCAGCTCCGCTTCCTCCTCAGCTTTCAGGCGCAGCGCCCCGACCCCGCCGTGCGCCAGGAGCTCATGGCCGCCATCCGCCAGCACGGTAAGCAAGGCGGGGCAGAGCGGACCCCTTTACCTTTACCTTGCCCTGAAAGCGGGAGCGGCTCGACGGGGAGGGGAGGGGAGAGGAGGGGGAGGAAGGAGAGCGTACTCTGTACATGCCCAGAGCCACTGTTTGAATTGGATTCACGTACACAGAAGAAGACTGGTTATTTTGGTATTTGTACCGGGCTTTTCTTTCCCTCGGGGCCCCCCTTTTATTATATCCTTACCACAACAGCCTTGTGAGGTAGCTTAGATTGAGACTGAGCGTGTGGTCCAGGCTCACTCAGTTAACTTCCACGGCAGACTGGAGATTCAAGGCTCAGATTTCCCAGATCCTACTGCTACGCACTACATCATGCCGGCTCTTAGTGGAAAGCCAGAGTTGACTTGGTTAAGAGTTCACGCATGGAGAAGGTGGAATAAACCCCACCTTAGCATCAGTAGTTGCATCTGTAGGACAAGGATTTGTGCATCACATCCATGCATCATCATGGAAATCGTGCTATCATAGTGCTGTAGTAATTGCTGGCAACGGGGGTTGCTTCCACACGGAGGGGTTTGTTCCAGTTTGGCATTTTTGGAGCATCCACCTGCTATTCCCCCCTCCCCGGTGATGTTTTTGGAAAGATTGTTTGTCTAAATCTGTGACAGACAAAGCCCAGAATTTTACCCCAGTGTCACAGGAGCCAATCAAAATGATATTCTGAACCAGCCAGTCAGAACTGTGTACTGGGAGACAGGTTAAGGTCTGATAATTGGAGGCAATCCTAAAAGGAGCTACACACCCTTCTAAAGCCCAGATCCAGTTGTGAATGATGTATGGATGTGGCTACTGGCTTGGATTCTGCTTAGAATTTGCATCAGTACAGGGCTGTGTGTGTGTGTGTGTGTGTAGATTTCCAACACCCCTCCCCACCATGACAGCCCCAAAAGCCCCATGAAATGCTGCTCCTGGGGGATGGGGGACAAACCCAGGAAGATCGGGAGGGGTGAATGGAAGTTCTGAGTACTATCTCCATCTGCACTTCCCTTATCTATGGCTGTGTTTGTACAGTGTTTGGCTGTTGTGCTGTCATTTTGCTTTAGCAAGAATTCACAGCTGGGTTTCTTGTGTGGATGGGACGATCCAGGAAATAATGATAGTTATAGTGTAATATGGCTGCATCCATGTATCACTTGGATATTATACCACGTTGTGCCGTAGCAGTACTTTGCAGGTGAAGTGGCTTGTTCATACAGAAGAATAGTTTACAGGGCAATGATTGTGCACAATCATTGCCCTGTAAACTGTTCTTCTGTATGAAAACTGCCCTCCTCTCTTGCTGAAGCGAAAGGCCGTTGTGACTGCCTTGGGCAGGGCAGTGTCTCCGCCGATGACAGTGCCTTGTGCTGTCAGGTTCAGAGCTGCTTCTGCCTTGGGTCTCTTTCCTCCCCCAGCTGCCTTGCTGGCCGTTAGAATGGGTGCAGGTTGCCCATGCCTGGCTGTGAGGCATAGACTGGTTGGGTGTGCGCACAAGATGGACTGGCGGTGCACTACTGCAGTCTCAGCCCAGGGCTGTTCTGTGAATCACCAAAAAGTTGTTATTCACAGCCCTCCTGCCATCTTTGGGGAGTCTTTTGCAGTCTTTTAACTACCCGGGAACATACGACTCAACTGGGTCAGTTAAACATTACTTTTGTTTAATAATCCGATAACCCGGCAGACAGACCCAGTCCGGCAGATGCCACCCTGTATTTCCATCCTTGCCTATAGAAGCCTCTGCTGCCAGGAATTTAGCCACAGCCAAAGTAATACCAGGATCAGTATCAGGTAGCAGGAAAGACACAGAAACAGGGGAAACATCAGAAACGGTCATCGGCTGTATCTAGAGATTTCTCAAAGGGGCGACCAACATGCAGTGCAAGAAAACATGAGAAAAGGTTCAGTTGCCCCAGACCCACATGCACAGAATCAATCTGAGTGTAGAAGAAGAAGAAGAGACTGGATTTATACCCCGTCCTTCACTTGGAGTCTCAGAGCGGCTTACAAACTCCTTTCCCTTCCCCTCCCCATAACAGACACCCTGTGAGGTGGGTGGGGCTGAGAGAACTCTGACACAAACTGCTCTTTTTCAAGGACAGCTGTGCCAGAGCTTGTGACTGACCCAAGGTGACATCAGCAGGTGCAAGTGGAGGAGTGGGGAATCAAACCCGGTTCTCCCAGATTAGAGTCTGCACACTTAACCACTACACCAAACTGGCTCTGACATGACATTGCAGTGAGGCAGTGAACCATGTTCTCTCTGATTTGGATTAAAAACAAGCCAAAGATGTGATGCATGTCTTGGCTCTGCTGTGTGCAGTTATGACCAGAAGGCTGCTTTATTTGTTCTACTCAGATCTATGGGGTGGTCTTGGAATTTCACTGTTCTGAGGGCATTGCCTTCATTGCTTCTGCCATGATAGTGTTATAGCCTGACCTGAACAGGATAACTCAGAAGCAAGCCTCTCTGCATTCAATGGGGTCTAGTCCCCTGTATGTTTATGCAGGGTGTTGGCATGTAGCCCAGTTCCATGCATATTTGCTCAGAAGCCTGTTGCATTTGAGGAAAACTGATGGCCCGATTGTACACTCTTAAACATTTGCCAGTGTTCCTGGCTGTGTAGCATTGGATCCCAAAGTGCTGCCTGTCAGCTGTGCCTGAGTGGAAGAAGCAGCGTTCGCACTGTTTGCTTTCAAACTGGTGGTGGTTTTCGTGCTGTTGCCAGGCTAACCATTCAACCAGCCCTGGGCCCCCCTGTCTTTCAGATATGGCCCCCTACTACGAGTCCCTCTGCAAGTCGCTTGACTGGCAGGTCGATATGGAGTTGTTGAATAAAATGAAAAAAGCGAACGAGGAGGAGCTGAAGCGCCTCGATGATGAACTGGAAGATGCAGAGAAGAACTTGGGGGAGAGTGAAATCCGTGATGCGATGATGGCCAAAGCGGAGTACCTGTGCCGAATTGGGGACAAGGTAAGTGAAAGGTGGCTCCAGTTGTGTTTGGCTAGCCGTGGGTGTGCATGCAAATGGTATCTCTCTCGGTCAAGTTTGGTAGAGGCCTTTCTTGGAGACAGGGTGCGCGAGTCCAGCGTAGGGGAAGAAGGCCAGGATCTTAGGATCATCTGAGCTGGCCTTCCTTGAGTCGCCCTTGCAGTTCGGAAGGTGAGCGGGGGGAGGGGGAGAGAAGGGAGTCCACGTCGGTGCCTCCTCTGTGAAACCAGTTGAAGTTCTGTTGGCAGAGTGGTGAAGATTTAGTAGAACAGAGGAAGGAGGTCTTGCTATTCTTTGCAACCCCCCTCAAGCCTGTTGATTCATCACGGTACTGTTGTACTTCAAGCACGATTGATATGCCAGTAACACGCTGTAGCGTGCTATAAACATTTCTGCTTAAGCATTGAGAGACAGATATTTGACAGGCATTGAATGCCATTTGCCAGAAGTAAATGGAAGCAGTCCATGTTTCCACAGGCTGATCACATTTGATGTATTTTCAAACACATGGAGGGAAAAAAGATCTTGGCTATATAGCACAGACTATCTCTTTTAAAGGGACTATTATAGCAAAGTAGTCGGAGCCTTTGCATCCACTAGAAGCCCTTGTTCTGTGCATTCTTTGTGTGGGCAAGTTTGCCAGTGTTTTGGCAGGTTTGGACTGGGCTGAGATGGAGGAATGGAGAAACAAAATATGGGAATTCTTCATCATGGATAAAATAACCAATGTATTAGACACCTCTCGAACATCACAATGCACAACACACTCCAAATTCACAAACACCTGGTTCCCATACTTGCAATTTATGGCAGAAAACGATCTCCTGCCAAAAGATCCGAACTTTGCATCATGGCTTCATTTTTAACTAAGCGATACTCTTGAATCTTTGACAACACAGCACTCTGGATGACCCTAGTTATTCACGTTCATGCTTGTGTTTATGTCCATACCAGTATATAGTACTCTCCGGCAACGCGTAAGTGACACCTTCTTGTTGCATCGTTATCCCTTCTGTTCTGAAGCCTATTTGTCTTGTTACTCTGTTAAAATTATGCGTTGTATGTTATTTAGATGTTGAAATTCTTTTGTTTGCACTTACATGTAAATAAACTTTAAAAAGACGCTTTAAAAAAAAAAGAAATATCCAGTGCTTTCACAACTTTCACAACTTTATGCATTCTTTGTTCCTGTTTTTTTTATGTTGGACAATAAGGTGAGCACTACCCTATGGCAAAGCATTTTGTGCCAAGGATGGGTTGAAAGGGAAGCAGAGTTGGAGATGACGTTTCTCAACAGGGGGAATACTAGGATAGCTTCTGGCTTGGAGCCCTTTCCCTTGTTCTCTGTGTGTGCTCTCCTCTGCTGTGAACCTCGTTCCTCTCACTCCGGGCACTTTGGGGCTCTTTGAAAAGCACTGGTCTAGCACATGCGGAAGTGCATAATGCCAGAGGAAGTGCACTCTGCAGCAGGATGTGCAGAACAAAAGCATTGGATCCCAGCCTGTGTTTCAGTAGAGCTAAAGTAAAATGTGCCAAGGTATAAGCTTGCACATCTGTGACCTGAAGGGTAAGATAATAGGGCAGAAAGTCACTGAAGAAAGGTGAAAGCCTTACAGTAGATTGTTTGGGTGGTTGATTGTATGGGTATGGGATGGAGAGAGGAGTGGTGTGTGACAAGGTGAACTGTGTTCCTTCTCGTCTCTGGGTTTGAGTTGAAAATGTAGTTTTAGATGACTTCTACCATTTTTTTTTTCAGTAGCATGGTCATACGCAATTCAATCAATAGTAAACTATTGAGAAATCAAGCCCCAGATTAATTTTCTTGGGGCTCTGAATTGCACCTTTTAACATAAGTATATGCTGTTTTGTTAGGAAGCCGCTCTGACAGCCTTTCGTAAGACATACGACAAGACCGTGGCTCTGGGGCATCGGCTAGATATTGTGTTCTACCTGCTCCGGATCGGCCTCTTCTACATGGACAATGACCTCATCACGCGGAACACCGAGAAAGCGAAGAGGTACAATTTCTACCATTCTAACAAAGCATGATGAAAAGGGAATCTAGAGCAAGTTATCTTGGTGTGCAGCATTGTTAGTGGACGCCTTTGGATTTGTCTGTGTTCTCTCGAGTTGTTTGTGGGCTAGTCTGGTTGCAAATAGATAGCTTATTCAGGTAGTCTTCAGCATTTGCTGCCTCTTGTGATACTAAAGGACTGAGGTGGGGCAAGAGGTTCACAACTATCAGGAATTTCTGGGAAACACAGAGATCTTGGCAAAAATGGAATGTGATGTTTTCTTATAAAACCTTAATATACTTTCAGAACATGAAATGTGTTTATATAATTTGGCATGTTAAAAAAGTGGCTTGGATCAAGTGATGTGCAAGTGAAAATGTCAGTGGACTTAGCATTGTTCCGCTTGTCTAAAATCTTGTGCAACACCCACCACTTTCCTCCCTATATCATGTAGTGCCGAGAAACTGCTTGCACAGCATCTGGCACAAGTGGAAAAGCAGTTTGGGATGTGCAGTTTGTAGCACATGGGGCTGTGATGGACTGTTAAGGGTTAATGCCCTAGTGCTTTCCGCAGTTGGAGGCTATCAAACTTAACCAGACTTAGATGTAACAAACAAAGCCAAACTGGTTCATAAAAATTGATTTGGAAAGGAAACACAAAATAAGATTTCCCTGATATGAATATCTTCAGATTCAACATTTATTTGATTTCCCAAAAATTAAAGAAAACTTACATACTCCATGTACTGAATTTGAGATACTTCTGAAAACCAAAGATCCTATAAAAAGGGGTCATATCTAAAATATATCAGATAATACTCAAAACCAAGAGTCAAAGTCTTTCAAGTTACCAGAAGGCATGGCATAAAGACATTCAACAAACATTAACTAATGACCAATGGTCAGAAATTTAGCGTACTCAAATTCACACTTCAAACCCCTTGGCTATCCAAGCCATACTGTACAAAACGTTGCTTCGATGGTATCTAACCCCAGACAAATTGACTCATATTATACCAGTAATTTCTCCGTTATGTTGGAAGTTATGCGGGGGGGGAAGGAACTTTTTACCATAATTGCAATGTAAGTATATAGTAAGCTTTTGGAAGCAAATCATAACAAATCTGTCTAATAACTGGTTATATACTACCTTTAGATCCCATGTTAATTTTGTTAAATCTTTGGCAAAAAGAACAACTTCAAGCTATACGCGGAGACTTAATAATATTATTATTAACTGCCACAAAGGCTGTTATAGCTCAAAAATGGAAACATACTAACCCCCCCCCCCAGCGTCCCAATGGTACCTTAAGATATTGGATTATTTTATGTTAGAAAAAAATGCTGTTTATACAGATAGAGTTTGTGATGATCAGGAGATCTTTAACCCAGTGGACAAGTGGTATTACCATTGGATTGTAATTGGAATGTGACCTGTCACCAATGTTCCCTCTAAGCTGTGGAGTCTTGCGAGCAAAAATTCTCCTTTGTGAGCTACTGGCATGAAAGTTGTGAGGGAGCGATTTGGCTACTGCATCAATGGAGCCATCCTTCCTGAGCTAAGACAAAAAATGTGTGAGCCGGAGGCTAAGAAACTGTGAGCTAGCTCACACTAACTCAGCTTAGAGGGAACACTGCCTGTCACTTAATGGAATATATTCTATATTGTTATGTATTTGACATTTGTTCAATTGTATGTTCCATGGTTAATAAAACAAAATGGTTTTTTAATCCATCTTGACTATAAATGGATGTACATCTCCCCCCCCCCCCTTTTTCTTTTCTTTTCAAAGTCTAATAGAGGAGGGAGGAGACTGGGATCGACGGAACCGCCTGAAGGTCTACCAGGGTCTCTATTGTGTGGCCATCCGTGACTTCAAGCAGGCAGCAGAGCTTTTCCTGGATACGGTTTCAACCTTTACGTCTTACGAACTTATGGATTACAAAACCTTTGTAACATACACAGTTTACGTCAGCATGATCGCGTTAGACAGACCGGACTTGAGAGAGAAGGTAGGCTGCACAGATGCTTGTGCCAGGGATCTGCATAGCCCTGGGTGGGTTTTGTAATCCCTCTAATGCCTGACCTGCTTTTTTTTGCCTGATGTCTTTCAGGTTATCAAAGGGGCAGAGATCTTGGAAGTGTTGCACAGTTTACCCAAAGTGCGGCAGTATCTTTTTTCACTCTACGAATGTCGGTATTCGGTTTTCTTTCAGTCGCTGGGTAAGAGAGCGGGTTTTTTTTTTTGCCTACCAACATCCTTGATCTGTCTGAATCAGTAGACTTGAGGTGGGCAGCAACCAGGCTGTGGGTGAACATACATCACCATCCAGTACTTGCCTTTCCCCTTTCTTGTGCTCTCATTCTCAGACGTGGTAGTTGTGGGCCAGGCGAGAGAGAGAACTGCTTTCTCAGGTACGGATAACCCGGATGGACCGCAGACAGTCCAGGGTGCGGCTACTCGTATCTCGATGCGGCAGGAGGAGGGTGGCCCAGTGGGCTTACGGCCTGTCTGAGGAGCATGGAGGGGAGCACTCGTGGAATTCCCTTCTTAGTCTTGACCAGTCAGCTTGAAATTTGGTCATGTCTTCCACAAAGTTGTCATTGCACAGACTAAAGAGGCTCGATGTGATCGTTCCATCTTCGCTGGGGTGCTGTCAGACCCCACAGTAGGCAATGAAGTACACACTTGCAGGAAGGTTTTACTTTATTGAAGCCATGAAGTACTTAGAACAGATTCTCTGTTCAGAATAACGAGATGTGCGTTTGACAGATAGGTTAAAGCAGATTCATAATCACATTAGCCAATAGATATGTTTCCCGCTCCCGCTCAGAAGGCTCATCGTGCGCCCAAACCCTGAGAAGCAACGGTTCTATACAGTTAAACAATTATACTATTCCCACACATGTTCATTACAGACTAAGCAATAAGCCTCTAGCCGCTCACTACCTGTGGCCTTGTACTGATAAGGTTCTTCAAAGCAAGACTAGCGTACATAGAAAGGAATGCAGCCTAGGAGAAGATGATCGCATGAGAGTGATGGTAGACATGCGCACACGAGCTGATTATATTCACCATGGCAATGGGGGGGGGTAGGGCATAGAGAATACACATATGAAAGACATATTGGCAGCTTGCTGACAGGTGCTGGGCAGGCAAGCAGCTCTTCCTGATGCTTGCAAGTCCCCGGGCCTCTGAGGAATGGTTGCTTTATACTTTGAGATCCCTGCCTTTAGAGATCATGGTCTTGCCGATTCCCAGTCATCTTCTGGACCCTTGTTCCTTGTCAGATGGCTTAATCAGTCTGCTGACCCTCTTAGGTGCTGCTTTCCTTTCTCCTAAATATCGCCTTTGGATCTTTCCGCACTGTTCCTGGTGCAAATGGGAACAGCTCGTATTTCCTTATGAGTGCTGCCAGGTCTGTTGAAGTAAAGTGGTCCTTCATAGGTCTAGTATTGTAAGGAAATGTGACTTCTGAATCCTGTCCTCCAGAAGCAGTGAGTGTGCAGGTCTACCCCTGGGCCAGCGGATCTCAAATGCTCCAGATCTTGAACTTCGGCAGATCACGAGAAGGGAGGGCAGGAAGGGTTGCATCAGTGCTTAGTTCTTGTGGCTTTTTCTTACAGATTGGTGTAGTGGTTAAGTGCACGGACTCTAATCTGGGAGAACCGGGTTTGATTCCCCACTTCTCCACTTGCACCTGGCTGGATGACCTTGGGCAAGCCGTAGTTCTGATAAGAGCTGTCCTTGAAAAAAAGAGAAGTTTCTGTCAAGAGCTCTCTCAGCCCCACCAACCTCACAGGGTGTCTGTTGTGGGGAGGGGAAGGGAAAGAAGTTTGTAAGCCGCTCTGAGACACCTTTGGGTAGTGAAGGGCGGGGTATAAATCCAATCTCCTCCTCTTCTTCTTACATGCCCAGGGAAATGCTGATTGCCACTTTGGGGTCAGGAAGCAATTGTTTTCGAGGCCAGTTTGGCCGGGGATCCTGGAAGGTTGGGTTTGTTTGTTTGTTTGTTGCCCTTTTCTAGGCATGGAGCAGGGGTCACTGGGGGTGTGTGGGGGAGGTATTTGTGAATTTCCTGCACTATGCAGGGGGTTGAACTTAGATGACCCTGGGGTTCCCTTCCAATGCTGTGATTCTACAACTGATGAGACAGCAAGTAATGCATTTCACTGTGTTTTGACAGTGTAGCACTCAGTGGGGCACCGAATTGCTGAAGGACATCCCTCCCCCGCCGCAAGTTCTTAGTGTTACATGGTCAGCACTGACGATCAGGGACTGGTGCAAAGCTCAGTGCTCCTGGTTTCGTGGTACTGTTCCATGTACCTTTCCACACATGTGCTGGTACCTCTTGGGTGCGACAATAGATTTTTTTCTGGTGTCTGAGAACCTGAACTTTCAGATGGAGTGGGGGTTGAGCAGGAGAAGAGATTTGACCCACACTGCATGAACAGTGTCCAAGTGATCTCTGCTTTTGGTAGAACATCATCCAGGAGGGGAGAACGCATGGTCCCCATGCAAGAAGCAGTCTACTTTCACCTGTGTATCACCCCTGCCACAATCACGGCTCTTGACTACCACTGTCTACCTATTGGCTCCATTGTAGTGAACAGAATTACAAGATCGAATGGATAAGCTTTGTTGCCATTTGTGGGTGTGGAAAGAGATTCCCCCCCCCACCAAAGTCGCTTGACTCTCCTAAGCAGTGGGGCTAGGCAAGTCTGTCTTGCGGGCTAGTGACCACCAGGATTTTGGAGACGTCTCCCAGTTCGTGCACTTTTTATTCCCATTTTAACCCCGAAAGAAGTAGTGTCTTCTAGACACAGCTATCCTTATTTCTGTTCTGCCTTTCCATTTCAGCCACTGTAGAGCAAGAAATGAAGAAAGACTGGTTGTTTGCACCTCACTATCGCTACTATGTTCGGGAAATGAGAATTCATGCCTATAGCCAGCTCCTAGAATCCTATAGGTCGCTTACACTAGGCTATATGGCAGATGCTTTTGGAGTCTGTGTAGAGTTCATAGATCAGTAAGTAAATCTCTTTTCTTGACTTTTTAGTGTGTGTGTGTAGCAAGTTCACTTCAGATAGTTGTGTACAAATTAAATAATCATTTACTTTAAAGGCATAGACCAATGTGTAGGAGTAACATTAGTGAGAAGAACCCATTTCCCTCTACATTTGCAGAGCTTGGGGGTCAAGAACTTTTTAAGCTACGAGAGGCTAATCGAAACAGCAGGGAAGCATTACTGATTGCAACTATGCGATCTGGGTGAGCTGAGTGCTGACTTGAAGTTTTCGTCGGTTTCTGTATGGAGGACACCTGAATCGCTTTTGAAAGTGCCCAGGTTTTGGCCTGAATGCTGTGCAGTCTCACACCACCCAGCCAGGAGTTTGAAAAGCGGGTGGGCGGAAGGTTCCACACGTATGGCCAAGGAGAAGAAACTAGTTTTGCCACGCACCCGTCCATGCCCTTCTTTTTCTTTATGGATTGTCATGTATGAAACGACTTAGTGAACAGGCTGCCTGTGGAGGTTGAAGATTATCCCCAGACAGTTTTCAAGCACTAACCAGGTGCCTTCTGAAGGTGCTTTAAGGAAACGTTACCTGCTGAGCTGCTGAGCAGTGGTTGTGGGCTGCAGCACAAAAGTAGCCAGAGCCCTGATGCAACCCCTTCTGCCTCTCATGATCTGCCTAAGTTCACAGAATCCACATTGCTGTCAGGTGGCCATTTAGCCTCTGTTTGAAAACCTCCAAAGAAGGAGAGCCCACCACCTCCCGAGGAAGCCTGTTCCACTGAGGAGCCGCTCTGTCAGGAAGTTCTTCCTGATGTTCAGCCGAAAACTCTTCTGATTTCATTTCAACTCGTTGGTTCTGGTCCAACCCTCTGGGGCAACAGAAAACAACTCCCACCATCCTCTATATGACAGCCCTTCCAGTACTTGAAGATGGTTATCACATCACCTCTCGGTCATCTCCTCTCCAGGCTAAACATACCCAGCTTTCCTCATAGGACTTGATCTCCAGACCCCTCACCATCTTTGTTGCCCTCTGGACATGTTTCAGCTTGTCTATGTCCTTCAATTGTGGTGCCCAAAACTGAACACAGTACTCTAGGTGAGGTCTAACCAGATCAGAGTAAAGTGGTACCATCACTTTGCGCGATCTGAACAGCCCAAAATCGCATTTGCCTTTTTAGCTACCGCATCACACTGCTGACTCATGTTCAGTGTATGGTCTACTAAGACCCCCTAGATCCTTTTCACACATACTACTGCCAAGACAAGTCTCCCCCATCCTATAATTATGTACTTGATTTTTCCTACCTAAATGCAGAACTTTACATTTATCCCCACTGAAATTCATCTTATTTGTTTTAGTCCAGTTTTCCAGCCCGTCAAGATCGTCCTGTATCCTGATTCTGTCTTCTACCATATTTGCTACCCCTCCCAATTTAGTTACATCTGCAAATTTAATAATTATTCCCTCTATTCCTTCAGTTAAGAGAACAGCATTTAATTATGCACTTGCTGCTGCAAGTTTGCAGCAGTGGGGAACTGTTGGCAGGAGTTAGTGGCTGCCTGCAGTATAACAGGGCTCCAGTTGTGCACAGTGAGTTGGCTCCCCTCATCTGTACATGTGAGGATCGTGGGTCGTCCCCCCCCCCCATTCCCCTCCTCTCAGTTCTTTCTGACTCTGGGGAAGTTTAATCCCAGGTTGGCCACAGGACCTCCATGGTCTGATACCCACACAGGTCAGGAGACCTCAGTGGAGAGAAGTGGGCAAAATGGCCCTCTCATTTCTCTTCCATCCTTGGAGCTGCCCCAAAGGAAGAGACAGAAAGAGCAATTTTGTTCATTGCTCCCAACCCACGTGGCTGTTGGGCCCACAATCCCAGGGGAGGGGAAAGCCAGGGTGATTGTGCCGGTGGATTATGCTATTCAGCCCAGTGGCAGGCTCATTGCTCCCTGGGTAATCCAGTCCTCCAGCATTGAGTTCTAGTTCCTCAGATCCTACAGAACGATAGATGGAAACATTTGGTCATGAAATGAGAGATTTAGGTATGAATGAGAAGCACCTGACGTAGTTTTCTGTTTTTGTTTTAAATCAGAGAGCTTTCCAGATTTATTGCGGCTGGGAGACTGCACTGCAAGATAGACAAAGTCAACGAAATAGTAGAAACTAACAGGTACCAATGTGTGAAATGCTGGCCAAGTCCTTTCTCTATGTACCTTGTTCTATACTTGTACCTTGTAGTATTAACAAATTGGTAATAATGTCATTGAGAATTAAGTACTCCACAGTATTTGGCCCTCTGAACAAACCCATTATGGAACTTCACATTTTGTAGAAGGCCTAAGCTGCATCCCTTATTTGAACTATGGCTTCTTAATTTCCAGTGGGGGACCAAAAACTACTTACAATCTCATTCTATCATCCTGTTTTTAGTTTTCACAACCACCACTGATGAGGGTAGGTTAAACTTAGTATATGCAATTGGCTCAAGGTCACCCAGCAAGCCTCCATGACAGAGTGAGATTCAAACCCGGATCTCCCATATCCTAGACTGACCCTCAGTGCCTTTTCTATTCTATCTCTGTTGCTGTTATGGTGTAGATGTATGGTTGCCAAGCATGGCAACCTGCAGTAGGAAGGGGGGGTTGGGGCAGGGGGGGGAATTGATGTTCCCAGCGCAATAATATTATGTCCTACGTGACCCAGAAGTGATATCATTGCACTGGGGTTTAATGCCTGAGCATTTGCCCAAAACTATGGTTTAACCATAGAGTTGTGAGGGAATAGTGTTACGTGGCATGGTGATGTCACTGTCATCAGAAATGCCACATTGCATCGGAATCCATGTTGTTATGTCAAACCCCTCCCTTCACTGGAGAACTTCCTTCCACTGCCCAGCTCCCACTGTACCAGGAGGCCCGGTAAACCCTATATAGACCAGTAGTTTTGTCACTTTCTTCCTTCGCTTTCCTCATCTGCACATCCAAAGACTTCACAGCCACGTTTTAGAGTGTATACTGTTAATGTAGGGCCCTGGCCAGACCTCTTGGCCCTTAGTGCTGCCCTGCCTGCATGTGTGGCCTATACTCTCCCATGGCTGATCCTGCACAGAACATTAAGAAGCTTGCCCACAATAACTCCAGGAATCTTTGTGTGTCATTACTAATTTGTTAAAGTTAGAACCCAGTTGGAGAGCCACTGATATAAAGAAAAATCTCCAGCTAAATTCCTTCTCTCGTTATAGGCCTGACAGCAAGAACTGGCAATACCAAGAAACAATCAAAAAGGGGGACTTGCTGCTAAACAGAGTGCAGAAGCTTTCCAGAGTAATCAACATGTAACTTCAAGAAGCCCAGAGCCCAGAGAAGGCGTAACTGAGACGGTGAAACATTTTGGAAATAATGTTGTGTAACTTGGTACACTATAGTTAATGGCAACTGTAGCTAGGGTTTTTACAGACTACTTTGCTACATTATACATTTCTGTTCAGTGTTCATGTTTTCAGATCCACTTCATTTATTAAATGTATAATACAGCCAACTGCCTTGATTGCGGGTGGTTTATTTGATGACTGAAACGACTTTATTTAAATCTAATTGTCAGAATCTGCCAGTGAAGACTTGAGAGCCTTGAAAGAAAACTTGATGTATGAAAAATGTTCTGTTGATGCTTACGTCTCCTGCTGCTGTGCATATAAAACCATTGGCACAAACCTTGGTTTCCAAAGAGCTGGTAGAACCCCAGTAACCGGTGATGCTGAACACCAAACTGTGCAGAGAAAAATAACTTCGATAAGTAGCTTCCAGGGTGAAGGAGGCACTGTTCAGCTTCTGAATGAGGCTATGTCTTGAAGAATGGCTGGTTGAGGGGAGAGGATCTGTGAGGCAGCAGGAGCAGTGGTGGTAACAAGGGGGCTAGAACGAGCAGGACACTTCTCTAGGCCTGGGTAAGTTGAAGGATTAAGAACCTGAGGACATGATATGATGGTAGCTGTGTGCTGGAATGGTTTTAGTGGAGGCATTCTTCACAGGCTTTGAAAGATGGGGAGACTCTGAGCTAGAGTGCCTGGCTGACAGACAGAAGGTTCAGTCCCCAGCATCTCCAGTTAAAGGACCAGGGAGAAGGTAATGTGAGAGACCTCTGTCTGAGATCCTGGAGACCCGTTGCCAGTCTGAGGAGACGCTACTGACTTCAGTTGACTGATTTAGTATAAGGCAGCTTCATGTGAAGAAATTGTAATATAGCTGAAACAAAATCAGAACATGGATGAAGGTTTTAGTAACACATATAGTTGGGAGCAGAGGTCATTTCGGGGGGGAACGCGGGGGAACACAGTTCCCCCGGGTGAGGTGCGGGGCACATGATGAAGCCCCGCCCCCTGCTTCCGGCCCTCATTCAGCCAGGAGGAGGCAGGAGAAGAGGGGAGGGTAAGTTGCTTCCTCCCTGCCTCTCCCCACCCCTGCCTGCCTGGGGCCAGGGAGGGCCTTCGCGGGGCTTCCTTGCACTCCCGTCGGCCTTGCAGGTCCACCGCCGGGCCCCTCATGGGGCTCGGCAGTGGAGCTGCAAGGCCGCAGCCGGGACCGTTGGGGGCGGGGTGTGTGGCCTTATGACACACTTCCGGTGATGTCAGGGGGTGTGGCATATGCTAATGAGTTATGCTAATGAGTTCCCCTAGCTCTTTTTCTACGAAATGACCCCTGGGTGGGAAACTATGAGTGAAGAGGTTATAAAAGGAAGCATCAGCTGATATTCACTGATGTGTATCTACTGTTTGACAGCTGCAGGAACTCTGCCCACAAGGCCTTCAAAGGACATAGCAACTAGATTCATGGGAACAGTCTGCGGACCCACAACTGGTCAGGGACTGGGTTGGTGTGCATGGACTTCAAACACTATCCAGTTCTGGTCCAAGAATCGCAGCACTGTCATGATCTTACTCCTCTAAGCTCATGTTGACTTTAAGAACTATATGAATACAAGAAAGGCTTTGTGGTACAATGCAAACCTTATAGTTTCTGTGATGGGCTAAAGTTTGGGCATTTGAGGGCGGCACAGTTACAAAACTGCTTACACCCTCTGGGGTGGGAAGAAGAAGGCCAGCTGTGTAATATCACTTAACTCAACAGTGGGAGGGCTTCTAATGTCCTGGCCCCACTGGTGGACCTCCTGATGGCACTGGTATTTCTGGCCACTGTGGGATACAGAGTGTTGGACTGGATGGGCCTTTGGCCTGATCCAACATTGGCATCTCTTAACTCTCCTGTGACAGCAGCTTCTTTTTAAGAAGCTAAGACAGGTATGTTTCCAACTCAGACAGTTGTACTGGAACATATTTATAAGCACATATTTCTAAAACTGTTCATCAGTCTTGTTTCAAAACAAAACTAGTACTGATTTTTTTTTTTGTGCGCTTCCTCTGCTGTATTTCATTTAGTCCCTTCCTTCCTTCCTTACTGCACAGAGCAGGCATTTCTCCTACCCCCAACAAACTATTCTACACAACATGCCTATACTTCCCATTTTCCAGTTATGCATACGGTTCCTTCCCACAACTCCTGTGGAATACACAGAGGGGACCAGGTAGCCCCTCACTTTATGCCTGCCAGGAATGAGAAGTCGTACGAATGTAAATGAAGAACTGCAGAGTTGTAAAGTGGCAGGTGGTGGTGTACGGCAGTGTTACTTTGCATGCTCTGAAGATAGCCAGGGTGAGTGGGAAAGTCTCACTCCTTCCGTCTGAGGCGGGCCCTGCCAAGGCCTCCAGAACACTGAGTGGGCAGTCTCTCTACCACCTCAAGCCCATGTAGAATCAGTGCTTTAGACTCCAAGATTAAGGTAGTCTGCAGAGATACATTACACATGGACAGTTTGGAAGTCTTGACAGCACTTTGGCATTTCGGAGGTTTCTATTCCTCCTCCCTAGTAAAACATTCACTGTTTGTAAATTCCAAAATTTACCTGGAGCGAAATGTACCCTTTTTGACTTGCAGACACATTTTGGGTTTTCTCCATGCAAAAAATGTGAACCCTCATTTCAAAGCCGTACTCATTTTGATAAAGAGGCTGAAAACTGTGTGCCTCTCATAGTAGCCTCATTTATTGTGGCGATTAGACTAATTGTATTGCCTTTAAGTAACATCCTGTGTTCAAAAGAAACAAAAACTAATTTCCTTGTCACGAAGCAAAAGCACACCATTTTTTTCTTATAAATAGTATAAATTATTTTATTTACAGAAACTTGTTACAAAACAAATAGACTATATATTTATTTTCTTTTAAATATCCAAAGTAATTTTTTTCCTACCCCATGACATTTGTTCATGTACTATACAGCAGCCAACACAAAGTTCAGCTCTTGAATATGTATACAAATTATCAAACTATTCACACATTTTACACAGGAGATTGCTTTGTCCCCCCCTCCCTATGGAGCCAAGCTCAAGTCCAAAAGCAAGAAGCTTCCACAGCCTACATTCTCATTGACAATATGTAGTGCTCATTAAAAAAAAAGGATATTTTGTACAAAGCATTTAAAATAACTGGTTTTCTGCAGAAGGAAAGCAGAATAATTGTTTTAAGCCCAGTTCCCTCCACCGTATATCCCCCCCCCCTTCCCAAAGACAGAAACAGAAGTGAAAGAATCCTTGGCAACAACAACTCTTGCCGGAAGACAATTCACCGGAAGATGATGGGTGGACCACCTCCCACTACGAACTTCTCCTATGCAATCCTCATTGGAATGAACAGGGAAGCATGCTTCTTTGCAAGACTCCCATTAATTTCAACAGGGCTTTTGTGTGGAGAAGAGGTTGCCAGCAGTTTTGTGTCTGGTTTTGTAAGACTGCTTTGAGAAGTAACTTACTTTCCATAATACAAAAGAATGTCAACTCTTTTTTTTTAAGTAACTCCAGCTGATGTCAGAAGAATGAACAATTATTCCAATTTACAGGTTGAAAACTATTTCTAGAATCCTTAGCATTATTTATGAGCTGTGGACATCTTTCGTTTGATCATCTGATTTTCCCTTCATCCCCCTGCATCCTCTCTGCCTCACTCATGGAAAGTCATATGGAGGTGGGGAAAACAAGCTCCATTTTTTTTTTAAACTGAACATTCAAGTCTTTAAAGGAGAAGCTGTCTAAAAAACAGTCCAAGCTTAAAATCTAGATATATAAATCAGGCACTTTCAGTTTTTTCCATTAGTTTTAAACCACATAAAGACTCACACAAAGGTGCATGTGAGTGCACATGCACACACACATACTCTCACAAATGTTTAAAAGGGGAAAAAAAAATAAGCAGTGTGTCACAACTAAATGTAGTCTTTCTGGGAGTCAGAGCAACTGTAAGCAAGGTTGTGTATACCAGACAAGGCCCACGATATGCAACCAAACCTCACACAGCCTCTCTGCTCCCCGGAAGGGTGGCCCCCTGTGGGCACAGGACTGCAACATCGGAGCCTTCCGTTTGTATCCCACAACTCCCAAGACATTAATAAAAAGGGACACAAATCCCCTCCTCCTGAATCCCAAAACGGAGGAATCCCTTAAAAAACAGCAAAGGAGGCATGTTAGCAATTGGCTTGGCAGTGAACCACTTCAAATTATAAAAAAAGGTATTTGCTTTTTTTCCTCTTTAATTAATAAATACTAGATGATTTCAATTGTACCAAAACTGGATATAAGAAAAAAGACCTGTGCAAAAATACATATTTAAATATGTACAATCAATTAACAAAATATGTCTTCTGAAATAGGGATACTTCAATATTTATAATAGAACAAGAAATTCCAAAATAAAGATACAAAAGTATGGGTTTCCATTATTTTTGTATAATTCTTTGTTCATCATTGCAACATTTTTTTTTAGGTTAAGAAAACTGCAGGAGTCATAATGAGAAGCTGGAAAGACTATTAAAAAATTGTATCTTTTAAATTAATACCAAAATCTTTCTAGAAACAACCCAGCCACTGCAAATCTTGCAAAACAAATTAACTGAAGTCTTAATTATTTACAATAAGAACTTTGTCAGACAATAAAAGCTTCAAAAAACAATTATTCCATTTACTAGTAAGCCCCCAAATGGAATATTGTTTGCGCAATAGTAAGCAAGTCTACAGTTCCAGGGGCAGGCATAAATTAAGACGTCCTCTGGTTCTATTTGTAGAAACTATGAAAAAAGACGTCCCCTGGTTCTATTTGTAGAAACTATGAAAAAACCGACACAATTCCACTCTGGAATGCCTCCTGCGTAAGCTGAACCCAGTGGCTCTTGTGCAAGAGCGTGGCCATGTTTGTGTGGAGCTCCCATACATTTCACCACGGCTTGCAATGCAGACATTCACAGTGGAATTGGGCCCTTAGCCCCAGCCCATTTCAGGTTAAACACAGTGGACAGCTGATGAATTTTCTACGGAGATCTGCATGCTTTTCAAGAAACCTGGACTTGCTTTGATGCTTTTGGAGCAACATAGAAAAAAAAGAGGACGTTTGAATACTTAAAGCCACTACGGTTTTAACTTATGAAAAAAATTGTCAGCCTCTGAGGGCAATTCTATCAAAACCCAATTGCACTTGTGATTGAAAAAAAATATCCAACACGTGCGATGTAGCCAGTGTCGCTTTCCTCTCTGCAGAGCAGATATGTTACTTTGGTTGTCCCCACCCCCTCCCCACCATTTCCCCTTCCCAAATAAGCCAATTGAGAAGGTTTTTTTTAAACATTTTATAGTATCCTGTACAATGGAAGGGTTATTTAGACCTCCCGCTGTGCAGTCATTTTTTAAAAAATATTTGCATAATCATAACCGCCCAAAGTATTTTTCCTTTACTTTTTAAAAACATGATCTTTTTGTGAAAGAAAGGCTTTGTAGTTGTCTGCATAGAGTCTTGTTGCTTCACTGTGTTGTTGTTTTTTTAAATAATTCAGTAGCAAATTCCATGTTGTTCTGAAAACCTCAACAGGTTGAAAAAAGAGAGAGAGAGAGACCTCAAGCACAGCTGTTGCTTTT